AGGGCCTTTAACCTACCTCCGAAACCCCAGGGGGGGCTGGGGTTTTTCGATATGTCATTTTTTCAAATGCCGGCGCTACGCGAGTCCCCCTTACTGCTGCTCATTGAAACGATTGTTGTCTAGATTGAATAAGAGTCCGTCAATAATCTGGATTAACGCTGTTTCTGTGCTTTGTCGCTTCCTGAAACCTGACTGTCTCTGATAAAGAAGATCATTCTCTGAAAGATACTTATACCGAGAGTCATGGGTAGGCCTCTCAATTACTTTGGATAGGACTGTAAGCACTGATATTGGCTGTAGTTTGAAACGTCGTCTTCATCACCAGCTTTGAAGAGAGGTGTTATTTTTGCCAATTTCCAACGCTTGGGGAACACACCAGATTCAAATGAGAAGTTAATGATTCGCGTCAGTGAAGAGGCGATCGCAGGAGCCGCAATCCTCAATAGACGAGCACTTATTTTATCTATGCCAACTGCTTTATTAGGACTGATTTTTAGGAGACTAGCGATGACTTGAGGCTTTGTAATAGAAGGGATAGTAAAAGTTATACTTGGGTCTTTTCTAGACTTGACAAAATTAATCAGTCTGTCTATATTGAAGGCGGAGATGGGCATAGTAGGTCTTATATAATCAGCTACATTATAGCGAAGATTGTGAAAATTAAGCATTTTTGATTCAAGGGCGAAGGGCACTGACTCTAACTTTGAACTCGTGTAGAATCTGAATTGAGCTTATTTTTGCCTTGTTTCACTATGACATCACATCAAAACAACCTTCAACAATCTATTGTTTAAACGCAAAGGATCATGGTCGTCGGAGGGGGTCAAAATCAACGCAATCCACCGAAAATTGTCCTAAAACCCTTATCAATCCACGAAAAGAAGTAGAATAGCCAGCAAACGCTCAGAATGTTTTTTAGTACATATTAACGCATAATATATATATTTAGGAGCTAAAAGCGGAGCTCCCGACACGGAAGTCACAGGGAGAACAATTTGAATGAAACTGAAAAGTAAAAAGAAGATCGGGGAAAAATCTTCAATTATTTTTTATTCGAGATCATTGAAATCGAAGATCTGGAGATTTAGGACAAATCAAGACCAAAAAACAAACTTGAAAACTGGTTAATAAGGTCAGCAGAAAATAAGCTTACTTAATTACGTCTTTTACAGAACGAGACGAAGTTGACATTCAGTTAAACTTGACAAAAACAACTGAGACAAAATAGAAAATAATGCAAAAGGCAATGCAAAATACAAAATGATGAATTTCTCGTCAGTAAATTGGCGTTTGTAAATGTTTTTGAATATTTGTTTAGCTTTTTAAAATGAAAGCCTAGGTCTGTTATTACAATACCATCTCTCAACAACACAAATTTANCTAAGGAATATTTTATCCTCCGTTTGCGACACAAATATTTTAACCTTCGCAAACATAGCAGCAGTAAGGAAATCTTCGCGCAACATATAACGGGACACGGGTAATTCCCGCGGGGGACGCTAGTGCATAAACACGGGTAATTCCCGGGCAATTCCGAATGGTGATCGCGATTCCCCCTTACTGCTGCTTGTGGATGCGTGTTGCATTTTGATAATGATAGACATTACTGTATGCAGCCAGACTAGGATTTTAAGCAATTAAATTGAAGTTAGGAAGTTTACCTTTTCAGCAATTCGTAATCTAAAAATTCGAAAACCAACCAACTAGTTCCAAGCTAAGCACTGCACCCTGTGACCCCCCACAGTATTACCATTAAAGGCATTAGTATATTTAATATACTACTGCATGAAATGGTATTACTGTAGGAGGAAAACGTCTTCAGCAATCTGCTATTCTGGTTGAGTCTCTTTGGATCGATATTATTATATATTGATATATTGATATATGTGGATATCCGTGTGATTTCCTGCCATTTCCAAGCCGTGAATAAAAACCATATCAGTGAAGTGATATGATACATCACTTCATGGTAAACTGGAAACTGGAAATTTTGTCCTTTTATCTACAGTACCTTAAATGTGTAATAAACAATTATCACATGTTAAGAGCTTGATATCTTTTTTATCCACTTGTTTTCCATAATTACGATATCACTCGCTCGCGGACTCCCTCGTTTGTGATATGATATGCAAACTCAGGAATACCAAGCTCTTAACATGTGATAATCTCTATCTCTCTACCAGTAACTTATCATGAAAAAATAAGACAAGGATTCAAAAGCAGAAATTCTTACTATAGAATCCTTGTATTCTGAGTTTCCTCCATCAATAATGATATCACCAGGTWCAAGAAGAGGTACCTTCGAATGAAGAATAATAAAATGTTAAATGAGAATAAAAATGAATGGGATTTCAATGGGAAGGTGGATGATCATTATATAAGCAAATTGTGAGAAAAAGTAAAATGGCCAAGAGAGGACTTATACTGTAGTGTACAACACTGTAGTCTTCAATCACAATGATGCTGATGGAGACGTGATTATAATAATGATGATGGTGATAATTATGTTGATGATGGTGATATGGTTGTTGTTGATGATGAYGACGGTGGTGGTGATGATGATAGTGATTATGATTATGATTCATGATGCTGATATTGAATACATATAATTACAGTGTTCTTACCAGGCCACGCCATTGCGGGAATCGCGCATAAAAAACAGAAATGGAGCACAAATTTCAACTCTATACACCCCCAAGGGCACATGAATTATCCAAAGAATACTTCCTGGTAATTTTAATAGATTTAGAGTACTTTTGAAATAGTAAGTCGCATTATATTGTCAATAAACAAGATGAAAGTCCACATGAAACGACACGAATCGAACATAGCCGCCATCTTGTATTTAACTCGCCAAGAGGTCTGGGACTAGTCTATGTTCACTGACCTTGTTTGTTGGAGGCTCAAGTATGGCTGCCCAGCGCAAGTTTATTGTACTATCATTACTAATAAAAAAACTGTCTTACATTGCTTTAGATTTGCAACAGAGTTACTGGCAAAAAACATTATTCTTTGTTTTAAGATTTGGGAAATGGCCCATCCAGTTTTCTAAATGGCCCCTAAATTTTGGATTGGTGGGCCCTTTGACCCCCTGAAAGAAATTTCTGGTCCGAACACTGTGTATACATACCAGATTTTCAATAAAATTATCGACAGCACTACCAGCCTTCACAAGCAACATCACTCTTCTTGGCTTTTTCAGTTTTGAGACCATCTCTTGCAAGGAATGAGCTCCAATCACTTTTGTTCCTGCCATAAAAATAAAATAATGATAAAAAATCAAAAAAAAAAAAAAATCATTTACACAGCAAGCCATAAGAAATGATAATGAGAAGCATTGACAGCAAGATGAGAGAGCGCTCGCCTTTCAGCTATATGAACCATGCAATTCAGCTTCGAGTTCTGCCATGCTCAGTGTCATATGTGAGTAAATTTAGTTGTTGGTTGTCTTAAACTGAGCTTTGAGGATTTTTCCCAGGTTATCCACTTTTCCTCCCTTCACGAAAATCAATGTCTAATTAACAAATAGACATCAGGTTTTTTATGTGTCTGTCCTCTTATTGATGATAAAAACAACCAATCAGCGCGCGAGAAACTTGTAAGTCATTGTAAAAATTATTATTGGAATTAAGTGGATGACAAGCCACTCTGTGGAAATGCCACTGTTTTTCTTGTTTCATTTTATTAGTCATTCGATCTGTTTGCCAGCTGTCATTAATTTAATGCCTTTAGGAAGCGAAAATGTAAAATATTAAAAATAACAAGGGGATTATCAAAACTTATTGCAAGATTCCTGAGATACTTTACATCAAGCATGTGGCTTCAATTTTCTTTTTTCCATACCTTTTGCTTCATTTGCAAGAAATCTGTCAACTTTTTCAACTGTTCTGTTGTATGCACAAACCTATCAAAACCACAAAAAATACATAACAATATAAAATATATAAAATATATAGAAGATTAAACTAACATGTATGCTGTCTTATATCTTTGCGATTGTGGCTTCTACTCTTCTAACCATGTCAAATCACAGGCAAGCTCGTAATTGGGCTGCCTGTGGTCAAATAAAAACATTTCTAATGTGTAGTYCCAGAAATCATCCATACCCACCACACAGAGAAATTTGGAATTTCCGAAGAGTAGGGGGGTCAGAGAAAGAACAAAAATTACAGAGTTTGTATGGAAGAAAATTAGAATTTCTGGGGGTAGGGGGGTGTCTTAAAAAAATTCCTCCGTGAGGGGGGTATGGATAATTTTTGGAACTACACAATAAGCTAAAAACCTAAATGAAAAAAGTGTCCTTGTTTTATGAGTCCTGGGGCACATAAAAGCCATCAGTAACTCCATGCAGCTGTGTGTATGCTAGAAAACCTGTGGCTTTCCACCAACTAGAACATATTTAGTGATATAATTAAAGATTACCATTGTACAATATTCATCCAGGATGTCTATTGTTTTTTGATATTACCACAAACTAATAATTATATGCATGGCTTTATGATTGGCTCACTTTCGAAAGAAATTTTGATTAAAAAATGTTTGAAACAAATACACTGTACAAATAATAAAAAAACTAAAAATATATTACAACAAAATTAAAACTACTTACGATAAAACCATGGTCGTTCATGTTTAAAATCAGGTTTTGGCCCTGTAAAGAAAAAGCAATCCTCCTTAAATCTTTTGTCAGAAGAGCTTACTATAAGAGAGACTTGAAGATTTATAAGGGTCGCCATTTCATGTAACAGATGATTAGCGAAGAAAGGGCGATGAAGGTCAAAGAACCGACTTAAATCGATCATACTCCGTTGAACGTCATTGAAATGGTTTCTAATCTTACTTACCATCACAGCAAGCCCAATCAAAGCGATATCTGCTCTGCAAGAACCAGAAAATGAAGAAAAATGTTAGTATACAATGGCTGACATGTCAGACTATGGAACCAGGAAAAATGCACAGTCGTATTCTACAAGATTAACAAGATAGTTGGGCAAAAAAATAAAGTACGAAGATCTAATAGCTTATTAATAAACGATTTTCAGGGCATGCTAATCGTATAGGATGTTAGAGATGTCTAAAATAAGAGATTTGACTTACTGTCCTTCAGCCATCTTGCCTTCTTTACTTAGCCTTGCAAACTCATTAATATTCAAATCACTTCCGGTTGAACCCTGGGAGTGTTACCACAGGGTACCCATAATAAGTAAATCGTGGAAAACGCTTCAGCACTGAGCCCAGTGTTTGTATAGGTGTAATTGTTTGTATAGTTGACTGCCGGATACGGAGTATTCTATTAAGATGCTATTAAGAGAAATTGTATGTTATTTGGATGTGACTGGAATGGATTGGTTGTGACTGAAATGGATTGCAAGTGACTGGGAGTCAGTCAGTGGATCTTGAATCACAAAAAAAAAGGTTTTGAATTTTCACCTTTTGAAAGGCCACGAATAATCGTAATGTGTAGCAAAAACATGCTCAACTTCTAAAACTTGTTTTTCTTCTTCTTAATGCCCAAATTTTGAGTGTTTTTTAATTTTGGAAAATTTGGAACCGTACATAGATGGAATGGACTGGACTTTAGTTGGCTGGATCGTACGGAACGTAAAGTGTTTCTTACGTCGAATTTGCAGCTTTTATCCTATGATTTTAATTTAACTATAAATAACTAGTGATTCTATTACGAAATTATGCACACACACACACACACACAAAAAAAATGCAGCAAGACTCTCTAGGAGAGAGATAAACTACAGGCACCATATTTTTGTGAACTTGGATTTGTCAGCAGTTGCTGATAATAATCATCATAACTTACATCCAATGCTCTTTTAAAAAACCTATGTTTCTTAAGAAGCGATTTTTTAGACCATAATTTTCTTCGACTGGGTAAAGAACCAGAAGCAGTTGCTTATTTTGAACTTCCGATGTAAATTTTGGGATAAGACTTTGCTCCTACATGAATAAAATTGCTAAGGAATGAATTCTTGGTGACATCGGTACATTTTTTAGGTACTTACGAACCATTTTCCGTATCTTTCTGCTTTTGGTGAGCAAAAGACGTGTGAACTGTTTAACTGGGACTCTGCTACGTTCTCGATTATAACGAGACCTGCATTTCTCAACTAAGAACGCCTCTTTATTGTGATGAACAAATTTAGATAATCGTACAGCTTCTTCAAATACATCACAATCAATTTCTAAAGAGTTTATCAAAGTCTTTGTTGAAATATTTATGAAATGTACAACCAGAACCATACACAAGACAACGACCAACAGACTCGCTACTGATAGTTGAACGCGCGATAGACTGTTTGAAGAAACTCTTCAACATTGTAAACAACAACAATATAATGCATTAAAAAAATTATCGTCGTTGTTATTAATACAAGTCCGAGGCTCCTTGACTGTGAAAAACCATTACATGACGGTCACGTGATTTCAATTCTCCCTCGTTTTTATAATTGCCTAGTTTTCATGGCAGATTCTCACTGACTACAACGATAGATAGAAAACCTAAACCTAAACCACAGGTAGCCCAAGNTAGTTTTGATTTGACATCAAGCGAGATTCCAATGTTGTGTACACGGACGGAAGGACGGAAGTGACGTCAGTCAAGCCATAAAAAATCAACTCGATGGTTTACCATTTTTTTCTTAGGTAAGTATGGTGCTCCGCTCGCGCGGGCCGAAGGTAGCTCCGCTATTAGTATAGGAAATCGCACGATCTCGAGTACAATTGAAAGGCCCAAGCAATAACAAGAACTTTCAAAACATTACTCGTTAATTCCAAATTGTACKAGAAGATCGTGTGATTTTTTGTTTATAGTTCACTCAACAAAATATCAGTAAAAAATGCGAAGCGACGCCGTTCATCCTTGTCTATTTGGCGTCCGATTTTCAGTGCATCGCGCAACTGAAATGCATTGAAAAAAGATTAGTTCTTACGGATTTAAAAATTTATTTATAGGTTTTTTACGTACAAAGTGATAGAAAATAATTGTTTTGACATTGTTTTGGCCGTGTTGCCATAGCGACTTAATTCGGTACTCCTACGGAGTACAATTAACGCTATAAGTAGTATAGGTCGCATGRCACGAGGGACGGGGAACATTAATTATTCATCGATCATTAGCATAAAACGACGGGTAGGTATTGTTTTGGGTTACCATGACGACCAATTGACGTCATAAGACTATTGTTGACCGGTATGAATAAGTTTTTGTTTCGGGAATGGTGGGCCAGTGATGGACACCTCCATTGTTTATTAAATCGTTACCATAAATAAAACGACGGGTAGGTATTGTTATGCAAGTTTGTGCAAGTCTTTTGTTTAGCAATCCAATTTATAGAGCGCGGGGATTTTGAATTTCTTATTCCAAAACTCATCCAAGCAAGCAAGTATGATGGCAAGTATTAGAGTCGATGAGGTCGATATGTTTGAAAGAGATCACATGTACTTTTTGATTTCCAACATATTTCACTTGGTATACGCTGATGAATGTGTGGAACCTATCTATATCGAAAGGAAGAGACAGTGTTATGGTTGTGAAGTAAACCATCCAAGCCAAAGACAACATGACTGCTTGATGTTAACCGAAGAAGAATCTTGGAACTTATCTTATGATCTTGCCAAAGACGTTGTCCAAGCAGAGGAAGTTTGGAGACAGATCCTTGGTGTATGCTGCACGATGAAAATTCCGCTTCATTGCTCCTGGAAGACTTATTTAACTGAACTCTATAAGCTTCCATGGACTACAGTGTATCTACTACGCTGTCAACTTCTACATTTATAAAACTCAGTACTGTTGAAAAATTCAGATCATTCTGTCTGACAAAGTCGACGAAGTTAACACTCCTCATGTTCCAATACATTGCCCTGAAGAGTTTTTAAGAAAAGAATCAAAACCTATTGAAATCGATGTAAAATTTTGTGGTTTGAATATGAGCAGCAGTAAGGGGGACTCGCGGTGTCCCCAGGAACCTATCACGTTTTCACGGGAATTACCCGCGTTTACGTCTATAGGAAACTTTTTACCGGCATGGAAATAACCCGTGTGAAGTACACTGTTTGCTTTCTGGGTACCGCAAACGGGGGTTAAAATATTCCTTAGATATAGATGGATACCATTAAAAGCATTCGAAGCAAAACTGTGCGCAAGCTCAGGACTCAGGTGTTGGATCGCCTGGATGC